CACAGTTTGAATTTGAGGTTTTCTTAATTTAAAAAAATAACGGTATATTGGTTAAGCGGCAAGTGAAGTTAGGTGATGAGTCTCTAACTTGCCTGCATTCCATATAGTTAATTCACAATCGTGCGATAGATACTTGATGTGACACTGCAACCGATATTTTACAAACCTAAACGGAAAGGGATTTATTTGTTCTGGCCTAACAGCCTTATATTATGTTATATGTGCTGAGCCGCCGCGGACTAGATAATTTGCACCACTTTGGCCTTATATAAACAGACAGAAACGTTTTCGTAGTTTAGCCCTGAGTTTAAGACATTGCCATTCAGGGCCTGTTAAACAGCCCTACTGTTGGAGAGTATTGAATATACTTTTCCTTTACTTCTCTATACTTTACCGCGACTGCTGACGCCGTTAAAATAATGCCCAAGCATTCAGTTTGTAAACTGAATGTCAGGAACCTAGTAGTATGTACTTATATATTTTAAGTGTATAAGTCCTTCGATTCCTAATTTTGTCTTTAAACTGTTAGTGGATATTTTCAGTTCTTTTTAACTCTTAACATACTGATTTTAATCTTTTGTATTATTGGATTACATACTTATACGAATACAAAACATTTTGGGATTTCGCAGAGCTTACAGTAAATAAATATTCACAATGCTGTGTTAATCTCTACCTTAATGTATGGTGGTGAGAGTTATCTTAATGACAGTTGTCATTTCACATAACACGCAACAAATGGTGTATTATAGTATATACTTATGTATTATAGTATTCTATGGTATTATGAGAAAATTGTGATTTCCAAGATGATTTGCCCAGGGTTAAGAAAGGAATGCATCGGTAGATCATGTAGAAAGAATGACCAAGCAATTTTTTATTCCAGAATTGAATGGCAGAGTCGTTAAAGTGCCCTACACGGAAGTTTACCGATATTTTGATGATACCCTTAACCGACGAGCATGTAAGCGTAGATATATGGATATGAAGGAGACGAGAAAGATGTATCAGGATCGTGCCAAATCGAAGTCCATTGTTTTTTTCTACCCCTCTGGGTGGCAGGCGTGCGTGTTCATATATGTATGTAAGTATCTTTGGGATCTTGTCGCTCTTTGCTTACAGCATTGAGACCCGGTGGCTTTTCCACAAACTTTAGCTACTTGTAGACTTTTTATTCGTACTTATAATACTTCTTCTTAAATGAATTGATGAACAGTGTTAGGTCCAGCATGAATTACAATGCCGTCCTAGGTATTGTTCTCAGGGTCATGTGGTGACCAATGTCAGGAATCTTTGTTTGTGATGACTTAGTTGGTTTTCGTCCATCAAACTAGTACACCGTTCCCAACCTAAAAAAAATTGCTCTGAAAAATTAAAATATTTTAGAACAAATACTCGTATTGAGAACAAACAGAAATCAAAGTGCGAGAGAGGTAGCACTACGATCCAACTTTTTTTGGTTCATCTTCACATTTTATGGTGTTGTTAATACGTAGAAGATGAAAGAAAGAAGGAAAATATACTTTTTTGGCTTTTTCACACAAAATATGGACATAATATAGGTGTACCATGGAAGGCACTCTAACAAATAAACAGTTATTATTCGTTTATTTACTGGATAAATGAAACTAACAAATATTTAAGTAATACTTTGTTTTATTATGTAACATATAAACCACTTTTTTAAATTGCAGATTTAATCAATATTGATTGAACTTAAGTTTCATTGAACTCGTCCAAATGGCCTTGCTAGGAACAAGGCTCCTTAGAAGGTCATTATAATAAATCAGTCATTTAACACTAAAGTTTAATAATCTACAATAAAAAAAGAAGTGGTTTATATGTTACGTAATAAAACAAAGTATAACTTAAATATTTGTTAGTTTCATTTATCCAGTAAATGAACGAAAAATAACTGTTTGTTAGAGTGGCCTTCCATGGTACACCCACCTTACTTTAACGTCGTCGATTCCCGAAAGCAATGAAGCGAGGGACCGTACTGCCAAAATAGTAGCGCGAGCGATTCGCCGCCTCGTCTGTGATTTTCAATTCGGTGGGTGTTTGTGTAAGTAGAAGGAATTTGTCATCACATGGCAATAACTACGACATTTTAATAATTGGCCTTCGAAGGAGCATGGCCTTCCATGGTCCACCCACCTTAGCATGAATGTCACCATCACTTGGTGCACTCTACTGATTTACGGACTAGACACTGACAAATGTCACTGAAATCCTTCCAAAAATGCCAAATAAAAATTTCAGTCTGGAGATGGATAGTAACATTACCAATGCCAAGGTGTCCAGTAGTGGAATTAAGCTTGGATATGTGGTGACCACTTCGCATGGGCTTAGACAACCCGCTCTCACTATTCGGTGCACGAAGATACCGTTGATATGCCGCTTTCTCTTGCTTGCTTGGCTTTGCGGGAATTTCTAAGCTGGAACCAGCGGTGTTGACACCGAGAATCTAACTTAACCTGATCTCACTATAACATTCAAGGCAAGTGGCTTTTCCCACGTGCTTTTGATTTGACATTTAAATTATGCGTAACTTTGATAAAAACTTGCCTATTATCTCATAAGGTATACAGCGTGTTCATTTTTAAACATGAATATTTTAATTAACAATAGATTTTTTTATATTATCGTTGTTTTTGATAACATTCACGTACCAAGTTGTAAAATTAAAAATGTTGTACAACCTACTTCAATGTAAATCAAATGCAATTAAAAACGCGTTAAGGATAACTCAAAAACTGCTCGTCAGATCTTGGCCAACCCTGTAACTTCCCGCTAATTTCAATATCAAAGTACTCCGAATTGCACTTATTACGATTTTTTTGAGCTCGAAGAGTTTTTGGAAAACCGCATTTTTTATTTTTTTCTAAATTGAATATTTCACGAACAAATCAACCGATTTTGATGTGATTTCACGGAAAGTTTTCAAGTAATTTTTTAAAAAAAATCGAGATTTCTTTTTTCAACGATATCTCTCGAAACAATCACTCGATTTTGATGCGGTTCACGGAAATCGACGTCGTTTTTTGAGTAGAAGAGCTGATTAGATTATAGAATTGATCAAAGCAACGGTGTCAAAGTAATTCCAATAAAACTACTTTTGAAAATTCAAAAAACTCGATTTTTGAGATTTTCTCAGAATCAACCGTGACGATTTGGTCTAAATTAAGTTCAGCAACTCCGTTATAAAGTTAATTTTATATATAGTTATTAAAGTTATAAGATGTTTACATGTTTACGTACATGCACACAAAAACACACACACACACACACACACACACACACACACACACACACACACACACACACACACACACACACACACACACACATACACACACAAAAGAAGTTTACACACTACACACATACACACACACACACACACACACACACAACACACATACACACACACACACACACACACACACACACACACACACCTACGGACATCATCGCCAAAAATAGCCAGAAGACCTTGAAAAGTCGAGATCTGGTGCGAACTCGATTTTCAAAAATCGGGGTGAAAACAATACTTTTCCATTTTTTGAAAATCATTGATTTTCATAGCGGGAAGTTAAAAAACATATAGTCGAATTGAGTAACTCCTCCTTTTTAAAGTCGGTTGAAAAAAATATACTTACCCGACTGACTCCAATGAGTTTCTGAGGCAATGAAAAATATTTTTTGTAGTACAATAGTTTATTCCTTGACGGGTTGACGGGATAAATAAAATAAATAATAAAAAAATGCAAGATATAAACAAAAGCAAACGAATGGCAATTTGTAACCTTTTTCGACAAAAAAAATACACAGAGTCATACGTGGTAGAGTCGCGCACTCGCGCTGTTACTATATTGGTTGTAGCACAAATGGGTCGGTTTGACCGGAAAAGGACTACGCTCTCATAGAATGTCAGAGTGAAATAGCAGCTAATGTTGCATTGTTTTGTATGAAGAGAACCATAGACCGTTTTAACTATAAACAAAGCATCCATCTTAGTTTTCAGAGGTGACCACGCATCTACATTCGATTCTTAATCGGGGATAAATGTAGATGTCTATGAACCACAGGATCCATTAACGATCAGATGGTTTGTGTGCTTGTTCTTTTGGGTGACAAAATCTCATAAAAATAAAGCATTTAAAAATATGTTGTAAACCATATTGCCCAAATAAAAAAAAACAAAATGTGGACAAAACTATTTTATTAAAATAATTGGTCAATAAAGAGCTTCTGTTTATGTAAAAATTATGATTATGAATCATACCTTACGTATTACATATAAACGTTCACTTTATTCTTTGATAAGACTACTCAACTAGGCATCAGTCGGAATTCTGCTTTAGAAGTGTCAGTGAGTAGTATTATTATCAGTGAATGTTCACAACTATAGATATTGCTTGTTAGGTAAGAGAAAAAGTAAACAAATAGTTGAAGAATTCAACAAGTTATTTGTGTTAACCAAAGTAGGTTACATAAGTGCAATAAGTGCAATTTGTTTCATGGTTACAGATGTTTCGTCGTAATAAGACAGATGGAGTCCAAGAGTATACAAAGTTACCATTATGGGATACCAATAAAGGAGCTCTTACAATAGTAAGATATTTTTTGCTTTCACATTTCGTTTTATAAGATATAATTCTTAGAAAAAAATAATAAAACTTGACAGTAAAATACCTACTAAAATGTGTTGGAAATAGTTGATTTACTTATATTACGATTATCGTAAATCCCATTTTGCTTCCAAATACGATACGTGGAAAATACATACAGATTACACAATACAATTCTTATATCTGTCAACGTCAAAATGACATTGCGTCACTCGCTTGTCTTGCTTTTGGTTTTGCTAAATTGTCATTTGTCATCTTTTGTCAAATTTGACAGTGTATTTTCGTTCGTCAGTGGTTTGTGTCGTCTTTCCAATTAATCAGTGTAAAAAATGTCTTTCGAAGCTTAAGCTCCTAGACATTTTGTTAAAAATGAAAAGTAGCCCCACTCGTAAATATGAGAATTTCTCCAACGACCATCAAGGGAAGGACACCGACAAATATTCGCTAGATAGCCAAGACACCGCTAGTTTGGTGAGTCGTTTTGTTCAGATTATTGATTTTGTTTGTGTACCTTTTAATTTTATTGATTGGTAGTTTATTAAGACACGAAGTACTTACCAAAATACAGTTTTTGTGGCAGACGTAGTCGATAAAGAGCAATATCCAATTCGTTAAACTCAGATGATGTTTAAAGGATTTTACGTAGCCGTTTACCGACCTAGATTTTTCTAGTAGGATTTGGGTAACCAATAGTTTTATCTGTAGCGAAAATTGCCTTACTTAGACTTTGGTGATTTTGCTTAAATTTTTCACACGTAGGTGATTAATAAAATCAATCTTATTTACATATAAATACAGCGGATTCGCGATAGTAATTGTCTCACTTTCACTGAGACACGTAAATTACTTTTACTGTACCCGATAATTTGCAGTATGTTTTCATTATGTGTAAGGTTACATATTATATATTTCATATGTTATATGTCCCACAGCTGGCTACGGGCCTTCTCTCATTACTGAGGGGGATTTTAATATATTTAATTTTAACTTGTCAGTTGGTGAAATCAATAGTAAGTTTTGTATCAAAAATATAAATGTAAATTGGAGGAATGGGTAGTGTACTTTCCTATTCAAATATATATAATGACATAAATTTTATTTCCAATACATGAAACTGTCTTACTTTATGTAAGAAGGTAATAAGTTTTAGCATAAATGTGCATCCATATTTTTACTATATTTAAATTAAAATAATAATATAATTATATTTTATTTTTATTACATACATACCTAACATAGATTATATTGTAAGAAATCAACAGAATGGTGTATTATGTATTACTGTAGAAAAGAAGTTTAAATACTTAGTATTGTCAAAATGTCTTTAATATATTTGTTAAATATAAGTAATAAACATGTTAAGAAACAGTAGTTGTCTCTCTGACCCCTTGCTCTTCATCATCTTATTATGGTCATTGATCTATCTAAAGAATGTCATTTTAGCGCATAAGTTGATATCTTTTCTTCCTTTTTATTTAAATCTTCTTTTGGGTTGTCTGGAAGAGATTGCTATGTAGCAATAAGACTCCATTTTGTTTTTCCCTCAATATTTGTTTATTTTTTGTTATTTTTATTTTTTCTTGGTGTAAAATAAAGAGTATTTTATTGTATTGTATATGGTAATAGGTAATATAATTCACAATATGGTACTATTGGAAATGATGATTTACATAATTTTTAAAAATTGTGGCTTTATTTGAATTTGAAATCTACAGACTTACTGCCTTACTACAAAAAGTAGTTTATAATTATTAGTCTCAGGTTTACACTAGTAAGGGACATGGTAGAAGGGCTAAGCACTTTCCATAAATTTCACAGTATGTGAGCAACTTGGGGTAGATCCCGGCTGGCACCAATGGAATTGCTATAATATGCAATTTTAAGGCCTGATTTACCCTTTTTACTGGAAACAAGGCATTCCGTCCTAGTTATTAGGGGTGACAATGCATTTGTATTTTGATTCTTAATAGAGGATAAATGTAGACGTCTATGGTCCACAACATCCACTTACCATCAGGTGATTCCCGTCGCACCTTTAATGGGGGAGGAAAACCAGCGACGAGGTTCGCCAGCCGTCTTCTGGAGGGGCGAAAAGTAGATTGAGGAAGCCCGTCTAGCTACAGCTGAATGTATGTGGAGCAATGAATGATAAGATGTATGAAGTATGCGATATGAGTATGAGGTATGATAGAGGAATAGATGTGTTAGTTTAGTTTAGTTTGCGATGGGCTGTTTTCCGCAACTCCACGTCTATGCGCGTATTTTGCGTGTGGGCAGGAATAATGTGATTATTCGAGCCATGAGATCTCCCCGAAGAAGCTCAACAGTCCCTTGATGTTGTATGCAACTTCGGGGAGTGATCCCGGCGTGCCGAGATGTTTAGCCCTGTACGTAGCGACCTCCGGACATTTCAATAGCATGTGGGCCGCCGTTTCTTCCTCCCCCATACATGCCCTGCACAGGGGACTATCTGTAACACCTATAGTAAATAAATGTTTGTTAAAGGTGCCGTGTCCTGTGATAGCACTTGTTACTATCCTGATCTGCGGCTTGTTCAGTCTCATTAAAACTTTGGTTAAGCGACTGTTTATTACAGGTACCAAAGCTGAGCGTGTTGATTAGTGAAGTGTCTACGTACCAGTGAACGAACGTTACCGAAGGGGATTGGTATGATTGGTTCCGGCCCTATAGTGGCCAGAGCCGAACCTCTTCTGGCCAGTTCGTCCGCTGCATTGTTGCCTCTGGATCCACTGTGTCCCTTTATCCATTGCAGAGTCACATTGTTGTTTTTACATACCTCATTTAATCGTTGATGGGATTCATATATTAGTCCCGAGGTCACCCCATTGCAACTCAGAGCTTGTAGTACCGCCCTACTGTCGGTCAGTATTCTGATGGGGAAGTCATTAACCTTCCTAGCATCTATTGCTATGGCCGCTTGAATGATATCCATACATTCCGCCTGAAAGACCGTGTTATAGGTACCCAGCGGTGTGCATATGTGAATATTGAGGTCTTCAGAGAAAGCTCCAGAACCTACACCTTCATTTGTTTTAGAACCATCGGTGAAAACTCTAAGCTCTTTTGGGCTTAATCCTTCCGGCTGGCTGTTTTCATTTAATTGTATCTTGTATTTCTTATCGAAAACAAATTGTTTAGGAATCCTATCATATTTGGCTTGTAGGATAGGAATTTCTGAGTGAATTCTATCAATTATGCCTGTATGAGGGACATTATTCTTATTCCAAAGATTTAGGGTCTTAAGTCTGATGGCAGCTAAAGTTGCTTCTTGTTGTATATGTAGATGAAGTGGAGTTAGCTCCAGCATTGCTTCCAAGGATGCTGTTGGCGTAGTTCTTATGCAGCCTGTGGCAGCCATACATGCCAGTCTCTGGTAGCGCTGAAGCTTCTTAATTGTAGTGGCTTCATTTGTCTTGGATATATTGGAATAGGTGTGTTATGTGTAAATGAGACGAAAAGGAAGGGAAAGGATGCCACTACGCATGGCAACATACACCGCGTACTGGTCTGGTGTAGATGAGACTGAGCGCGCATGCCAGGGAGTCTGTATCATCCTTTCAGAAAGAATGGCTCAATGTGTGAAAGAGTATGAATGTGTAAGCCCAGGACTGCTATGAATACAAATGATAGTGGGGTTAAAGAAGTTGTTAGTCCACTTATATCCAAGAGCAGTTTTAGGAGATGGAAGGGATGATGTTAATGAAATGTGAGAGAAATGAAAATATTGCTATGTTAGGAGATTTTAATGGAAGGGTTGGGGTGAAGAAGCTGAGTTATGAAAGGATATTGGGAATGTTTGGTGATGAAAGTATAAATGAGAATGGTGAACGCCTTATTACCGTATGTGTGGAAAAGAATATTTTGTGACAAACACTTTCTTTCGTCAAAAGAAGTCTCACATGTATGTGTGGGAAAGAGGTTTGTGGATGAAAAAATGAGGACTGTTATGAACACGAATGAAAGTGGGCTTAAAGTACTTGTTTGTTCTAGGGGTTTAGGCCCCAGACATGACTGAGAGCAGTTTTGGGAGATAGTACCTAAGGATAGTGTTAATGAAATATAAGGGAAATGAAAATTTTGCTAGATATATAAATAGCGGTAGATACAAGGGTTTACCAGGGGTAGGGTAGGGACGGATAGGTCTTATGCTGAATTAATGGTCTATTCAGACATTGGCTGCAGCGGACATCTGTGTCTACCACTGCGTTACAGTGTAAGAGAGAATAAGAGAGTAAGAAGAGAAAGGTTACAAAATGAAGGTGTGAAAGGCAAGTACACATGTAGACTGAGAGAAAATATAAGTGGTTTGAATGAATTGTGTATGAATTAGACTTGGAGAAAGTGAAAAAATGAAATAATGAAAGCAATGAAAAGCAGGTAAGGCAGCCGGATATGATAGAGTTTCACTTGAAATGCTAAGGGCTGGGGAGGAAGTGGTAGCAGTCCTGCTGTAACACCTTGTTTAATTTATGTTGGGAACTGACTGAATCAGCCTTCTTAGCATTGTGGGAAAACTTTATGTTAAGGTACTAATTGAAAGAGTTATGAAAGAAACTATGTAAAAATTTGGAATGGGGTGTACAGATCATCTAAAGTTATGGTTTTTTTTTAAGAAAAGAAAGTAAAACGATATGTGAAACAAGAATAGAAGGGGATTCATTGGTCTAGCAAGCAGAGATGAGTTGTATATTTGGGATATGTATTCAGGGATGGGAGATATGATAAGGATATAGAAAGACGAACACTATTGTGGAAAGCCAGAATGTGTCATAAAAGGCACGTATGACGATTCACAATGCTGTGTTAGTCCCTACTTGTGTTAGTCCTTACTAACGTATGGTAGTGAAAGTTGGGTGTGGCAGAAGAAACATGAGAGTAGAATAAAGGCAGTAGAAATGCGGTTGTTAAGGAGAATGTTAGGGCTGCATCTGAGTGACAGGGTGAGAAATTGTGTGATAAGAGAAGAGTGTGGTTTGCAAGATGATGTTGTGTGACCAGGATTAAGATAGGAATGCTTCGGTGGTTTGGCCATGTAGAAAGAATGAATGAGGAAAGAGTGGCTAAGCAAATTTATGTTGCAGAAGTGAACGGCAAAGTCGGATCAGGACATCCTAGGCGAAAGTTTATCGACCAAATTGGCGATATATTGAAAGTGGGCCAAATTAAGAGTATCCTTAACTGACGAGAATGTATGCTTAGGTATACGGACGTGGAGGAGTAGAGAGAGAGATTGTATCAGGATCGTGCCATATGGAAGTGTAGTCTCTGCCTACCCCTCTGGGACAGTTTGTGTTATGTTATGTATGTACTGTGGCGCGGCGGCTGAGTAACTCGTTTTTGACAACGACTTCTTTAAACCAAGATTACCATTTTTTATAATAACATTGTAAGTGATGTGTTCTCAAAAATATTGAAAATCTGATAATGTAAAAGACTAATATCTTTTTCGT